ATAACTAGATAGTAGTTTTTAACTTAAATTACAAATTTTTACAAATTCTAAACCAATGTCAGAATATTTTAAAGAAAAAAAATAATATGATATATCAAACTAGAAGATTATAAAAATTTATAATTTAAAAATAGCTAATTTAAAAGTTGTATAGAAACAAATAAATAATATAAAGAATATAGTTTAGCTAAATATAGTAAATTTAAGATGTAAAAATAATATCAAATATAGGTTTGATTTTCTTTTACTAGTATAATAGTTTAATAGCAATGTTTCAGAGTGGAGTTATTCTAACTGTAAATGTTAGTTTTGACTATAATATGCTAGTAGTATAATAAAGATTTATATAAATATCTATTAGAAAAATTGAATAAATATTAGATCACTATATTAGATAATATAACCTAGTTATAGATTATAATATAGTTTAAAAATTAAGTATGTACAGTACTTATAAGTATATTTAATAAAACATTACTAGCTTTTTTTGTTAAAATTTATTTTTAAAAAAAAAACATGATACTTTTAAAATTTGCTTAAGAATTATTTAAAAAGAATATTTATATATTTAATTGTAATTAAAAGTTAAATTTTTTTTTTTTAAAAAAAATACTTTTACATGTAGTATATACATATTTACTTTTACTTATTCTTTAACCAAATTATTTTTTAACTAATTAAAATATTTTAACACAAATAGTAATAATGCTTTTTTTTAAAATCTAGTAGCAGTTTTATTTTTTGGATATTGCTAACTTGCCCCCTGATTAACATAACCATCCTATTATTGTAACTTAAAAATAGCTTAAATAACTATGTTTGATATAAAAATGTTTAGCACTATAAAACACCTTACTTTAGCCTATTTCTAACTCTAATTCTAAATGTTAATCTTCTTTTTAATATTAATTCTTTAAACTTTAAATATAAATTATAGGTGGTTAAAATTTATATTTTAACTAGGGGTTGAAGTTAGTTAAATTCTTATTTCTTACATGGGGTTAAAAAAAAAAAGAAGAAAATTCAGTTAATTCAGTAATTGTTTCGTTTGATCACGATACTTAACAAAATCCGTGTAACAAAACCTTGAAAAACCAAATCGGTGAACTCTCGATATAGTAAAGATTCGACATAGTACATTTTGAATTATGGAATTATTAAACTTCAATTCGCAAATCGCTACGTATAGAAATACATATAGTATTCCCTTGGCATAAGCTATAACGAGAATTGTATAAGTTTGGTTTAATCCAGTGAAAAATAACCAAATATGACTAAATAATCAAATATGACTATATATATATATATTACGAAAATCATAAGGGAAATTCTATTTTCACCCGGGTTAAAGTCGCCCGATAAACTATGTCATAAAATTATTAGTTTTAATAATATTTTGGGTGACTAACCCGGGTGAAAATAGAATTTCCCAAATCATAAATCATGTTAATTTTTATTACAAATCTTGTGAACAAATCGTAAAGATCATATCGATTATTAAAGACTATTGATCAACACTTCTTCATACATACCCATCGCTATTAAAAAAACAAATCCAAGGATTTCTCATAATTTATTTAATCTGGGTATGTAAGATCACGTCTTTAATGAATTATCAGACTCTTCGTAGCATAAAATTTTCTAGTTTTCGAAATAATATTACCCATACATAAAGTACAATATTTACAAAATTAAGTATATAGTATAACGAGTAATAATCTACATAGAATAGTATATGAAGTATGCAGTAAATGACATGCGAGATCACGTGATCAAAATAACGTTTCAAAGATGGATTTGATTTTCTCTCAATTCACTCAAGTAGGAATCCAAAGAAGCGCGATCTATTGAGAGATTCCATTGAAGATAGTGCAAGAAATTTCTTTCCTAGTTATAACAAATTTGTGGGGCAAAACACATGAGAATAGGTCATAATTTCCGTATTTCAATGCGAACATGAGACATACCATTCTTATTATGTCTTTGATTGACCAAATATCTTTTCCAACAGATTCAAACATTTTTCTAGCGGTAATTGGAGCATCATCAACATATTTACTAGCTACTAGGACAGAACTAATAAAAACCCTATGGGCAGTTCCGTACTCAGTTTTATAGTTTTCAGGCAATTGTTTTTTAAGCCGATGAACGTAAATTAAGCAAACGACAACGATTAAAACTGGTAAATTTAAATCATGAACAATTTTCGATATGAAATCTGGCAAGTCTGGAAGTTGTTGAAACTTTTGACGTTGCGGTTGACTTGCATGAAGGATCGAACCCATCGAGGTTGTGGTGAAATCTAATAATAATTGTTTGAAAAATTGGTTGAAAAATTTGGTGAAAAATTGTTTGAAAAAACGATAAACAAAGAAATATGAAAGGAGGATGAATAGACAAATTCTTAGACAGATTTCAAGAAAAAGAACGAGAATTAACAATTTACCAATTAGTTCTGCGGGAACAGGTTTACGCATGGAATTTTCCATAGGTGCAGAATTAGTTGCGGTAGTGGCCATTCCTTATTATTTAAAGTGATTTTTTTTTTATAGGAAAACGCGAGAATATAATATTTTTTAAAACAAGACGATATTATAAAATTTCTTTATTGTACGATATGAATCATTCAAAAATTAAAAATAAAGTTGGTTGGAAAAAAGAAAGCTACAAATCTATTTAGCTTTATAATTTGTTTGAATAACAACAAAACGGAATATTCGTTCGTTAAAACACTCAATTAAAAATGAAAAAGATCTTGAGAATTAATTTTACAAAATGGAAAAAAGAAAGGAAGTGTGTGAATCATTTATTATACTTCGTAAACATAGCAAATACGCATAGTTACACAATTTGATGTGTGATTTCCATAAAAGAATTCTGATAAAGTTTACGTTAAACAACGAATCTGAAACAAATGATCACGAGATTAACTTCATGTTGATGTCAATTAACCTTTTCATGGATGTTCCCCGAACATTTGATGCAGTTAATAGTCATAAATTGGACTAAGGCAACATGATATCATGATTAAATTACTTATCTACATTATTACACAAATTGCCATTTTTGAATAATCATAAATGTCGAAATAGTAATCACATGGCTTAGGATCTTCCCAAATAGTTTGGTAACTTTGCTACGTATCTACGTATCAGAAATGTTATTGGTTCTCACTATATTACTAACACTCATACTTTAACGTTAAAGGAATTTGAAATTAGTTGTAAATGTTACTATCAAATGTTACTGGTTTATCAGATCTTTACTCGTGATACTTAGAGATATAACGATAAATTCAATGAAGCTTTATAAAAAAAACTTTTCTTTCTAGTACGAAAAAATTTCGTAAATTACAATATTATAAAGCGGGATCTCTTGCAGTATAATAATAAATTGATTAGTAATACGTTTTATTAAATGAGTCACCTATGTTGCAAGAAAAAATTCTATAGTTAGTAAAATTTTCACAATATAGGAAAAGTAAAGAAATTTTAGTGGAAATTTAAAATTTTAAATAAAATTAAAACTTTATTTCCCTTTGTGCAATAATCATTTTAGAAATTGTCGTTCGTAACGAGCGTTATTTTTAAAAATATTTCGTGTAACCAACATTTTAATATATCTCACATTTATGTGTATATATGTAATAATCACATGTTGATTGTCTCCAAGAGGAATTTGTGAATAGCACAAACTAAAAAGGAAAATTTGCGTAAAACATTAGCACTAGGTGCTATAGTGAGAAATTTGCTGTTTATTATATGTAAATTTTCGGTTTAATCATTTTTGATTAGTGTTCCAAAGTCGATTGAAATACTAATTTTCGCTTTTTCTCTTCGCACGTGTCCGGATCCTAGTCAAATTTGCACAAACCGGCATATTATTGATAATTGTTAGCTCAATGTGGTAATATTCATGTAAGTTGGGATCGGGTATTATGACGAAATTAAGAATTACTGTATAGTTAAAATTAAATAATTTTGGTACCATTCGTCTCAATAAGACGAATCGAATGGTATATCGATATCTTGTGATTAAAATCGAATAATTTTGATATTATTCGATTCATTTCATTAAAACGAATCTAACGACACCTAGTCCTTAAGATAGATTTATTTAAATAATGAGAGGGATCGGGATAACATAAATCTTGTGACGAATCGTGATATCTCATTCGATTCTTCTCAACGAGAAGAATTGAATGATACCAAATTATTCAATTCCAATCATTGAAACACAAGATATCACACGATTCGTCACAATACCTACTTCGTCATAATTTAGAGTGGTGAATTAATTTCACCATGATTGGTGAAATATTGATTGAAATTTGGTGAAATCAATTCATTTTGCGTCATGTAATTTTACACGTGGGTTATCTATTTAAACTCTCTGCGCCTATATACATTACCCTATTAACCAAGCGAGAGTACTAGTACACCCTTATTTTCAAATACTGATTTAAGACTACTTTGTCCTCGAGGTAAACCTGTTAGAGCCTTCCGTATCCACAATCCGGCTGACCTAGTCTTCAGTTGATACACACGGGCCAAGACCCACCACTTGCACCCCAGTTTCCATAGTAGAAGTGTTCTCTGGCTGTTTTGTTCTTATCAGTTTTTTCATAATGTTTTAACTATACTTTGGCCTGATCATCACTACACAACCTACTTCTGCCATTGTAGAGTTCACTCAAACCCCAGTACTTCTTTTCAAGACAATCCAATATTTCTCTTTTAGTACTCCTTAGTTGGTTTTTTCAGATTACCAATTCAAATGGCCTAAAAGAAACACTAGTTTTTTAGTATTTGTATTTTAGGTCTTTTTTCTCTAATATTCTAGCAGTTTAGTTGGTGAAATAACTTCCTTTCGAATACCCAGTCCTTATTTAGTTTATACATGCCACCAAAATAGGTTTTCAAAAACTCTTATTTTGTCTTCATTAGAACAATTTAGAATTTTTTATATGCAATAACAAATCTAATTTAGGTAGTTATGTTCTTTATAATTTTGTCTCTTCAAAAAAAGTATCAAAAAATTTTATCTTTTAAGTAAAATAGATCAAAAACAATTTCATCTTCAAATTTTAATTTCATATCCTGAAACCTAAAATAATTTTATTGGTATGTATAATCCAGTTATGTTAGTCTTGGGTAAAGCTTATTTCAATAGTACTATTAAAAGTTTGTATTATCTCTTTACTTAGGATTTGCCAAGCAAACGCTCTACTAATGTATTGGTTCTGTAGTTTTTTGTAATCTTAAAGAACTTATTAAAGATTTGTATTAACTAAACCAGCTATATATGTTTTTGTATAATTTTTTTATTATATAAATGCTCTAGAATCTTTTAATTTTAATATAACTATTATTTGATACAACTATAGTTATAAGGTCTTGAGTTTTCTCAGTCATAACAATAGTTGTTAAATCTATTTTTTTTTAAATTTAAGTTTTGCTCTTTGTAGAAATTAAACTTGTATTTGACCATTTGGGATGCAACAACTTCACCATTTTACTAAGTCATTACACTTTTAAAATTATTCAAATTTAATTATAAAATTTTAAAATATTTATAAAAAATATAGTGAATAATTTTTATATATCAGTTTTATAAACATCTATTTTTTTTAATCAATAAAATCACAGCGTCATTTTTCATATCCAAATTCAATAATAATTTGTATATATCAGTTTCATATATATCAAAATTCATAATAGATATTTTTTTTTAAATATGTATTTAGTATTTTAAATACTTTTTCTAGTTATAAAAGCATAAAGATATGCATACTACAGCAAAAAAAAATTAAATTTATTTAGATCAGCCAAAATTTCTAAATGTAAACATCGATTTATAGTAGCCAGTACTGCAGGTATGTTTTTGAATTATATCTCTTAAGATATTAGCTTTGTATTTTTGATATGAAATTATTATTAAAATATTTCAGATGTTAAATACTCAAAATATATTAATCTGTAATTCTGGTTGACAAAATTTTTTTAACTGATAAACTTTAATTAGGTCAATATATAGAAGTTTGTTTTTAGATAAATAAATAGGACTTTTAATACATATTTATAAAATTGATTTACTGATTTTTTTAAATAAATTGTTCATATTTGTCTAACTGAAGACATTATTTCATCTCTTATTTGTATTCTCAATATAGATATAAAACTTTTGACACCTGCAAATTGTTTTACAAATATACATTACCTTTATAATACTATACAATAATTATTCACTTCGAATTAAGCTAAAATCTAAATAAATTATGCAAATACAACATTTCTAAATACATGAAGACATTAATAAAAAACAAGTAAAGGCAATATATAAATCTAAACAAAGAGAGAATGCCAATTCTCAAAAAAGTCTAAATGATGACAAATAGGTAAATACTAAGGATTTAAAGATAGAACCTATATGCTCTTATTTGGTTTGAGTTTAACTAATACAATATGATTATTTCTGTACTAGTACAGAATAACAGGTTTTCTGCGATGTATAGATTTTTGATCAAAGGATAAAAAAAAGAAACTCGATATTGAATCTTTACAAAATACCATTATTGGCATATTAAATATATTTGATGCCAGTTATGCATATTCTGAAGTATAAAACTAGTACTCTTATATGCACTCTTGTTAAGTACATTATAAAACTGTTATCAACTGCTTTATATCATATCTAAGAGTATTATTATATAAATAGTGCTGCTTAATTAACTGAGATTTTATAGCAACCTTTATATCTTGTCATTTTTCTTTTTTTTTAAACAAAGCCACAGATAGTGATCAAAAACCACAATAACCATCACCAAGTGAATTACATACTTGTATTTGTATGTGTCCAAATTATTTAGTAACCTTATATAATATTTTTAGCAATTATATATAAGCAAAAATTTACTGAGAAAGTATATTAGCTATTTACATAGCTGGTATATTTCTCAGTAAATTTCTATATATACTTAATTATATAGGTCACAGCTAATTTATCTCCTACCATCTATATAACTTAAACTTATCTGTTAATTTAAACAAATTTTTCTATTAAAAATCAAAATTAATATCGATATATACTTACTGTATACCTAGTAGTCTAAAATAAATAATAGATTTAGTGATATAATATTTTATATATATAAATATATAAAAAAATGATATAGATGGATTGGCCAGAAGATAGTTTAATACGTAAGCAATTTCAGAAATTATAAAAAACTAGTTTTGATAACTGTAAAAAACTAATTTTAGCAAACTAATTACTAAATTAAATATTTATTAATGTTAAAGAACCAATTGACATATATACAGTACATGTATATATATGCCCATATATATATGTTGTATATTGCTCTTAAATAACCATTAATTCAAAATTAACGTACCTGAGTTTAAAATTTATACCAATTAAAATGTAACTTACGTAGTTTTAAAAATTAAACGATTAATATGTACGTACGTCAATTAAACTCAAGTTATATGAGTCTAATAAATTAGGCTGATTATAA